CACACACACACACACACACACACACACACACACACACACACACACACGGGCAGGGGAGATAAATAGCCAGGGAAGGACTCCCCAGCCTTCTGAAGAAGCTTTGAAGGGGATCCTTCCTGTCTGATGGAATTTTGAGGGACTCCACACGGGAGAGTTAAAATGGCACAACTCCCAGAGATTAAACTGACTGGTGGCCACGAGTAAATAAGATAGATATTCCTATTTCTAGCTTCGGAGCCACTTTCCCCTACTCCAGATAACCTCTTTAGGGGTAGCCAGCACTTTCCAGCTTGTGTAGGAGCACAGAGTAACCTAGATAACACATGGATGCCTTTTGACATTAGGCAAAAAGCAAGAACTTCCAGCAAGTAACTAGATGCCTACGGGAAATGAACTTTACAATAGCCACGGCAGGTGGAAGAAAGATGCCTCTGAAGGAAGAGGAAGGTGCAGCCCGGGCGACCGAGGGTTCAGAATTCAGAACAGCTTGCCTGGGACACGACACCTCCCTCTGGCCCAACAGGGCATCGGCTCTTTCTATTGACAATTTATAGCCGTGCAGTTTATCTGCCCAATTTTGTTCATTTCAAACGATCAGACACATTCCAGAGTTTTCATCCCTTTGACATGCTTTCTTTTTGGTTAGGGTCATGTAACGAGAAAAAAAAAATGTGCACTGACCCTGAAAAAAAAAAAAAAAGGGGTGGGGTGGGGTGGGGTGGGAGGAGAAACAAGCCAATGAACCCCATACTGTCTAATTCCTTAATTCAGGCAAGAGCGATCCCAGCTCCCCTCCCAGGACAGGTGAACACAACTGGAAAAAAAAAATAAAAATAAAAATAAAGCTCCCACTGTTTGAAGATGCCAAAAACCTGCCAAATGAAACCTTATGTCAATACTGACAAATTTTAAAGAAAACATGTGCTTCGCCCTGAAACCGCCTGCGGCGTTGCTCAGCGCACGGTTGATCGGCAGGTGAGTTCACTGCTCACACCGCGCCTGCACGACCTGAATAAAATTCCTCGGCTTTAAGCTGGAGTGTTTAAATAGTTTGCACATTAACACACTATCAAGACGCCGTTTGAATAAGCTCCTAAATGCACCTTGTAACCCTCAACACACGTTTCTCAAATCTATCTTTGCCTCGGTGGTAGCTCCTCAGCAATAATGCTACCACGCTGTTTTGAAGCCATGCGATGTTAGGTTGTAGGCAGCTGTAGCCAAACAGGGATTTTATTTCTTTCGCTGGCACGCAGAAGTAATTGCAAGGCACTTGCTGCTCGAGCCCGGGTCATAAAACAGAAGAAGGGTGGAAAGCAGAAGCGAGAACCAGCGCTGCGCTGGAGCAGAAGGACTCTCGAGGGGCGCCTTACCTGTCCCTGGAGCTCCCTGGAAAGCCACCAACAGCAGGGAGAAGACCACGGGAAGATAATCCATTCTGCAAGGGGATCAAAAGAAGAAGGGGGAAAAAAAAAAAACAAGAAAAAAAAGGAAAAGAAGAAGAAGAAAAAAAACTCGATTGCAAAGGAAAGTCAATGCAAAACGGAGAGGACGACGTCCGGTGTCCCCGATCGCCTCCGGTTGCTGAGCTCTAGGCGCAGACCTCGCTCAGCCAGCGGCGAGAGCGGCGCGGGCAGCCCGGGAGGCAGGGCGCGGGGACAGCGGCGCAGCCCGGGTCGAGCTGGCAGCGCCGGTGCAGGAAGGCGTCTGGCTCGGACGGCTCTCCGTCCGGCTTTTTATATTGAACCCCTATAGAGTGGGGGTAAACAGCTCCGACTTTATTCCAGCCCCCAAAACAATGTTATTGTGCGATTAGTCACCCACAGGCAACGTGCAGCCGGAGATAAGAGCCGGCCCTAGAGGAAATCACGGCGAACTTCAGAGGCAGACGCCCGCCGTCTGACAATCCAGGGGCAGGGCTAAGAAAAAGAAAACACCCACTGAGACAGAGACCTCGGGCAGAACCTGCGCCGAATGGCAGAGCCCGCTTCCTGCGCCAGCTGCCAGCCCCAGAGTGCAAGAATCGAGAGGTTCTCCAGGAGAAAAGTCACCCCAATGGAATGAAAAGTATGAAGGACAATTAAATAGATTGTATTGTGCGCGAGGGGGGTGGGGTGGGATGGGTGTGTGTGGGGGGGGGGGGGTGATCATTGTTCGCTTCATTTTTCCTTTTATGTCTTTTCTGATTTCTTAGTCCGGATTAAACAAGGGGACGCTCGCCCTCTCTGCTCCTCACTCCCTGGTACCTGGAGTTGGGGGGAGGGTCAGATTATTTCGGAAGATCAGCCTCCTTTTCCAAGCCCCTTCCCCCAAGTCTTTTTTTTTTTTTTTTTTTTTTTTTTTTTTTTTTTTTTTTTGACTAAAGTTCTTAGCATCTAAGGGGAGGAAGATTCAGTAAGTAGTTAGCGAGGAAGGAAAACTAAGGAAAACCAACAATTGGTTTTAACTTGCACATCCTTAGCTCCCTAGTATCACTGATTAGAAGTACCCCACCACCACCACCACCACCCCGTATTTCTTGTGCCCAGCCTCTCTCTCTCTCCCTCCCTGGCCATTGCGCCGCTATCAAGATGGAGCTTGAGAAATGGAAGGAAACGAACACCAGGGGGCGATGAAGAGCTGCTGTGCGTGGGGGGGCGTTATGCTTTAGTAAGATAAAACAAATAAAGGCTTGACTTCTAAAGGACTGGAAACTAGCCGTGGCTGGGCAGGAGGAAGGGCTTGAAAAGGGCACCTCACATGCGAAAGAGGGGTGACTGCGAGGCATTCCAGTGTTCCCTTCCCTGGTTTCCAGGAACCCCTCCCCCCCCACCTTTGCTTCTTGACTTGGTCAGACCTGATGCTCTGTGCAGGATTAGGAAGAGGCAAGGGGAGTGTGGGGGAGGGAGGGACGCCTGTCCTGAATAAGGAGATCAGACCGTATACCTCACCGTTTAATAACGTGTTTACATTTTCCACACAGTTTCCTGTCTATTTTGCCATGAAATAACTCCCTCCCGCCGGGTGCCCACGGGTTGTTAAGGTACAGGTGACAACATGCCTTAATGAATGAAGCAGAACACACACAAAACGCGTTGACTCTTTCAATAAGCTTCCCTTTTCAGGTGAGAAAAGGGAGGACCCAGAATGCCCACAAGCCTGAAACAACACACAGGATGCAGTCAGAGTGGTTTCCCTATGAACGGTAAAGGATCTATTTCAAGACCTGGGCTTGCCACGCGAAACGCCTCTCCTGCAGCTCATCTTGTGTGACTCCAGTTTTCCCTGGAAGCAGAAGCCAGTATAGACTCATTTCTAACCCAAGACCCACCCAGGAAGAGCCTGCACAACCAATCGCTTCACATTCAAAAGGGAGATTCGATAGCAAATAGCCAAGCTGTGATCATGGACATGCTTAGGCTGGGTGAGCTGGGTGACCTCGCTGGACATCTCACTGGGGGAGACACAGTGGCTGTGTCATGTCCCGAATGAACGCTGTCCCTCATGAGACACTGTGCTAATGGCTGGAGAAGCAGGAACCAAGAACCCTCCCACACCCACACCTGAGGCCTGGCTGCCTCTGCTTTGCTTACCTCAGCCCAATCCCCAGGGGGGGCCAGGAGGTGACAGCTGCCCCTAGAACTGGGCCCCAACGGAAAGCCAGCTCTTCCCACTCCAGCTCCTAGGGCGGGACGTGGAGGAGAGGAGAGCTGATGTCACTTTCCCAAAGTCCAAGCTTCCCACCAGCAGGAGGAAGGTGACTGGCAAATGTCTATTCCCTCACCATCCCTACCCCCCCCCCCCCCTTTTCTGACCTCCTGGCCAATTTTGCTAAGCACTGGCAACTGTCAGGACTAACCTGTCCTCAGCTCCACCCCGGAAATGCCCAACCCAGTTCAGATGCATCCTTCAGCTGGCGGAACCCCTGCAGGTACCCGTGGCCCCAGCGTCTAAACTGGAGCTGTCTGGGTATCTTCCTATCGCACACCCACCTCTTGTCTATACGTTCACACCTGCACACACACTCAAACTAGAAAGGTGAACTCTGGCAGCCCTCCTCCACGCTGGCCCCCCCAATTCTAAAGCTCCGTGAAAGCAAATTATAAATGAGAACAAGCTGTCAGGCCTGGGAGGGTCCCATCTTTCAGGCATAATCCTACTTCTTATGTTTGGTCCTGAATCCCCTAGGCCTCTGTGTGCATACGTGTGCACCTATGACTCTTTTTGTGTGTGTGCCTGGGACAAAGGGTAGGCTCTGCCTCTCTGCCCATCACTCCATCCCTGTCCTCTGCACAAGCCCCTCAATTCTCCCCATGAAAGGAAGGGGAATTCTCATCCAAGCCCAGAAAGGGAAGCTCTCGGATACTCTGGGCAGCTTCAGCAGATAAAGTTTTGCCAAGTATCCAGGGGAGGGGAGGACAGCAAACCAGTTTGACAGGCTGGCTGGTCCCACCCACCTCCACTTAAGATATTAACATTAGAGAGGCCAGAGGCCCGAAATGAAGAGAAGGAATAAACACGTGCGGAACTTTTAGAACCATGGGGATGCCTGCCCTGAGTCCACCCCACTCTTCAACATGAACTCACAGGGAAAGCACTTTGCAGCTCACCACCCCTAAGGAGGGAGAAAAGAGGCAAGGAAGATAGTTTTCCCCTCCCATACAGCAGCTCGCTGTTCTCCTTATTGTTTGTGCTTAAGATGTTACTTTTGAATGAGGAAAACTGCCTGATAAAGCTGTTTTTATGTTTTTCTTTCTGTATCTTTGGCTGCATATTAATAGATAGCTATAAATAAAACAGCCCGAGCCTCAAATACAGAAGAAACTACACAGTAGCCGAGTGTACTGTTTTTAGCGCTCTTCACTTTGGTCTTTCTCAACTTTTGCGTAATAAAACTTGCAGCTTTGCCAAGACAATAAATTTGGTGTGAGATGTTGCGTTTTGTTCGGGGAAGAGAAGAGCTGTGCTGAGGACCTCAGTTGCCTGAGGACCAGTGGAAATGAGCTTATCTGTGGGCAAGGTGAAGCCATGCAGACACGAAGCCCGCTTCAGTCCTGTGTTGGTGCCTGCTCTGTAGACAACGGAATGCTGGGCACGACAGTCACCATGCCCATGCCACACTGCCTATGCGTGGGAGCGTGGGCAGACAGGGGCTCTTTCTCCCTTTAATCCAAAAAAAAAAAAAAAAAAAATGGTCAGTATCTCACAGGAAACGGGATGGCCCAAATCAACGAGTCCAACGCATTTAGTTCAAAAGGTTGTGTCAGACTTTCTGACCTAGCATTCAGAAGCTCGGTGGCCATCGGGAAACCTTTTTCACTGTTCTGTGTTTTGGTTGTTGTTGCTTTGTTTGTTTTGCTGAATTTGTGTGGCCTGGGTACTTTTTATAAAATATTTTGTTGTTAACAAAACCTGGTCTTTTACTTGAATAATTTAAGGAAAGTGTGGGTTTGTGCGCTCTGTTTGTATGAGTGTGTGAGAGAGTGTGTGTGAGCGCGCACACACACACACACACACACACACACACACACACGTGTATATAGGTAGTGCCTAGAGGTGATATCTAGTGTCTTCCTCTACCGCTCTCTACGTTATTTATCTATTGGTGCAAGGTCTTTCACTGAATCTGGGCTTCACCCCTTTGGCTAGGCTGGCTGGCCATCTCGGCCTGGGACCTACCTACATCCCTGGTCCTCAGAACTAAGGTTACAGAGACAAACCTCAAAACCTGGCTGCCACATAAATGATGAGAAATCTGAACTCAGGCCCCATGCTTAAAAACACAAACACCACTTCTATTTTCAAGACAAACCAAATACCTTCCATCAAAATCCCTCGCAAGAGGGCCCCTCGCAGAAACAGTTGCTCTGGGCAGAAGTGAGAAAAACAAAAAGGCTCACATCTAAACCGTTCCCAGCCATCACACCCCCTCACTTAGTGGCTCACCCCATCAGGGGTTTGTAGCTGCCCTTGAGCTCCCTGCTATTCTCATCCTAAACGTACAGATGCGATACGAGTGTTGGTTCTCACACACACTTAAGCACGCACAAACCTGTAGATTTGGATGGGAACATAGCAATATCGCATTGCACAGCATTGTGACAGCCTGTGTCTGCAGACTGCTCTTCTGCTTTAACGTCAGGCGGGCCACTTGGAACTAAGGTGACTCTGATACGGGGGACAATGAGAAAACTACTTATGTAGAATAGGGAGTAGTCGATTCAATAAATGGAAAGTTTGGGGTTGTTTTTAACAAACTATCCTCTATGTATCTGAAGGGGCTGTGATGAAGATAGTTCGTTCCCCTCTGAAAACATCAGAGCATTTAGTTCCACTTGTTCTCATAGAGACAGGAGTCTGTATAGGTCACTAGGCTGCTGGAGACATCAGACCTCTGTCCAGCGGAAGAAATGCGGACGTTGTATAACCAGGCTTCCTCTAGTGTGTAACCCTGTCCTTGGAAGCCCACTGTCCTCCGCCTTCCACTGTGAGGTGAAGCTGCACTGAAGCCTGATGGACGTTGCAGTCATGTTCTTGGCCCTGAAATCCTTCAAGACCATGAAGCAAATAAAACTCCGTTTCTTCTAAGGCAACACACACTCAGCTGTTGTGTTATAGCCACACACAGGATGCCTAACAGAACTGTGTTTTCTTCTATTTTGAGACAGGATCGTCTTGTAGCTCGAGCTAATCTTAAACTGGCTATACAGTGCAGGATGACCTTGAACTTTTGAACCCCTCCCTTCTCTGCCTTCCAGGTGCTAGGATCACTTTTGTACACCCACACACTTAGTGAAGAACTGGAGCTGGCCAGGCATGGTCAGCACATGCCTTTAATCTCAACATACTGG